TGAGGAGTATACGGTATGAGTCCCAGAGTTGTTCACTTTCTTGTGCCCATGCTAAAAGAGAGTCCACCAGCAGTAGGTGCGTAATGCGACTTGACAACTTCTATCTGCTCTCCTGTCCATTCCTTCTGGTAGCAAAAATGCGGAAAGTACAGTCTCGGATGATGGGGCCTATCAATAGGTATGACCCGTTTTCCACCATCTGTTGAAGCGAGCGAACGGCAAGACGCTATCAATCATTCGTATTTGTCGTTTGTGTCATCGTTCATCCGCTTCAACAACTGGGCCAGAATATTTGGCGCGCCGCCAAATCTTCTGCCCTAGTTGTTGAAACGGGCGAACCCGGCCTCAGCGACACGCTCCATCCGTAGCACAAGACTGTACTAGGACCTTTTTCTCGGGAATCCGGTGCCATTGCATTACTGGAGCTATGGTAGCTAAACAGCATTGGCTCGATCCTGGATATCGGTTGTCCTTAAGTGCCGACCCCCCGACTCCAAATCCACATAGTTTATATACTCTATTAATGTATCTTTAGAATAACAAAACTGCTACAGCGCCGGCGCCGAAACCTCCTCCGATCACCGCAGTCGTCCCAAAACCAGTCCCAGACGAGGAGCACCCTTTAGAGTGTCGTCTTTGTCACAAAACTATGCAAAATAGGGTGAGTAATCAATTTTTAAAATCTTGATTCATATTTATAAGTTGCTGGTTTGTGAGATGATTAACAAGATGTTCAGATACGAGGCTTTCATATTCTCTGGCATATGGCCAAAGACATGGGAATTAATCGATACATCTGTCGAGTTTGTGGATTTGGACACGACCGATCACAGTCTGTGCAGGTACATGGAAAGAAAGAGCACGGAACGGAGGAGGTTGTACAGGATCGCATTGGGGTGAGTATAACCAGTTGTCTTCGCGTGGATGTTTTCTGCTAACAACGGCTTCAACAAGCTTCAGGCTGCGTTCATACTTTGCGTCAACATACGGCAGCGTAGGCCAGTGTTTTCGCGGGCAATTTGAGCTTTAGCAAGCTTGTCCGCTATCATGCTGCTGTAGACTGGCATTCGCCGGCGTTTGCTAGATTAGTATCTACATTCCTAATCGCTGGCGCTGGCGTACGCTCGAAACGTTGTCGTACGCTGGTGGCAAAGTATGAACGTAACCTCACAACCACGACACTGTGATTTTTGAGGAGTCGTGCAAGTGTCCCGAGAGGTCGGGTCACCATTAACCCACAAGCTGTGTCCCTCACCCAGGGGATGGTACCCTTGTTCCATAAAGTTAATCTGATCCTTTAGTGTAGTTGTACTGGACTGAATTTCTAAATTGGGAGATGGGCGATTCTATCGTGAGCCGGCAAATTACCCCATCCAAGCCGAGAAGTGCAACAACTCCTTTAGACTGCGTTCATACTTTGCGCCAGCATCCGCCAGCGTCCAGTGGCGTCCACCAGCGTTTCGAGGGACTAGGGATGCATAAGTATCGATGCAGGGAATGCCAGCCCCCTTCAACATACGCAGCGTTTACACGGGCTTCATGTACTTGAGCAAAACTGCCCGCGAAAACGCTGGTGGACGCTGGCGTCCGCTGGATCCATATCTATACTTTCCTAGTTGCTGGCGCTGGCATGGGCTCGAAGCGCTGGTGGTCACAGGTGGAATGCCTCATTCGTATTAGAAAAATCCCCAATGATTTCGGCGAGCAGAGACCTAATATGGC